TTTTACAGATGAGAAAGTTGAGGTTCTAAATGGTTTGAAGCTACATGTAGTGAGTTGAGTTAGGATTTGGGCTCAAGTTTCCCGACTCCAAAGCTGATGCACTTCACTCCACCATGGAGAGGGAACATAGCATAGCGATTCAGTGAATGCACACTGCGTTCACTAAATTCACTAGGGTTTGAATCCTAGCTCTGCTACATACCAGCTTTGTGACCTTAGATACATTATCTCATCTTTCTGTGTCTGTTTCCTGTGATTAATGGTACCTATATCACACTGATTGTTGTGATGATTAAATATGCATTAATCATCTAAAAGTCTCTAGTGCATATATTATCAATTCAACTTATTGTTACTCTGCCTCCTAATAGCCTAGGGCAGTGATGGCGAACGCGAACTCATTTTTTTGGTTGATTTTTCTTTGTTAAATGGCATTTAAATATATAAAATTAATATCAAAAATGTAAGTCTTTGTTTTACTATGGTTGCAAATATCAAAAAATTTCTGTATGTGACACGGCACCAGAGTTAAGTTAGGGTTTTTCAAAATGCTGACACGCCGAGCTCGAAAGGTTCGCCATCACTGGCCTAGGGCTAAGTAATCCACAAGGACTACCCAGCAGGGGTATAAATGCTTAATGGGGTAATTATTGGAGCTGGGAGGTGGAGTTGGGATGGACCAAGCAGGCTTCCCTTAGAAAGCAAACCCAGGGAGCATTTGAACTTTTGCTTCATGTCATCAGTTTGGCTCAAATAAACTCACAAAAACTCAAGTAAATAAATGGTAAAAGCAAACCCAGAGTCCAGTCCAAAGAACCAACTGGGAGTTGACCAAGCCCACAAAAGAGGCAGGACATCCCAGGCAGAGGGACTGTAGTGCAAAGACCCACGGGAGGGAGAGGGTTTGTTTTGCAATAAGCACAAGTTACCCTCAGCCAGTGGGAAACCCAACTGCGAACTACTCACATTTACACAATACAGGCTGGCCGTGCACCTAAGATAGGGCTATTGTTAGCCTCACCTTACAGATGGGACTCGAACAAAAACGGGCTGGCAGGAGGGAGCCAGACTACATTTCCTCCTAAGCCAGCGATCCCCAACCTTTTTCATCTCATGGCACATAAACTAATTACTAGAATTCTGCAGCACACCAAAAAGTATATGTTTTGCAGATCTGACCCCCCCCCTCCCAAATATAATTTTGATTCATTCACACTGGACGCTATTGTTGTGTTGGCTGTTGTCGCTTTTTAATTTGACAACCTAAGGGAAAGCGGTCAGTGCCCTGACTGGTCAGGTCGTGTATGTTTTAAAAATTCCTGGGGCACACCGGTGTGATGAAGATCGCTGTCCTAAGGGTTTGGCAAGTCGTGGAGTTTTAGGCAGGTGGGCGATGACAGGGTAAGATACTGTGTTTTGCAAAGATCCCTGTGGCAGTCGGGCGGAGGCCGGCTCCATTGCCCGGAGAGACGAGGACAGACTAGCGGGTCAGAGTGTGCACGTGGCCAGGGCCCCGCGGGAAGAGCGCCAATCACCTCCCAACCGGCTGCCCAAGGGACCACATCGCCGGCCCCTGCAGGTCCGTCCGCCCACGGTGTCGGGGCCGCACCCCCTTCCCACCGAGGTCAGGCGCTGGGGTTTGTTCAGGAGCTTCCTCTCTCTCCGGAACTCTCGCGAGATGTCCCCGCCCACCCCCACCCCCCCGCGCGGTCCCGGCGGAAGCGTCAGTCTTGTGCTTTCTGACTCTCGGCGGCCCCCGTCCACGTCCGCCGCCACGTGACCAAACAGATCCGGGCACTTCCACTTCTCCTCCGCTTTCTTCTCGGCAGTGTCCGCGGCGGGTCCA